AAGGTGCATCAAAATAAATTACCAAGGAAAGTAAAGAAAGCAGTAAAGGTACTCGATGAGCATGGAAATCCAAATTGCCAGAAGCTTCATGGTGTTCGTCATGTTCCAGTAGACTTCTCACTACTAATTCTGTTCTCTGCCAATTTTCTGCTGCCCATTTCTTCCTCTTTTGCTCTATTTATAGGGCATCATTCAAACCTTCCAGGAGCAGTTAACAAAACTGCTACCACGTTCTACGTGCGTGTTGCAGTTTATCTTCTATGGTTTCAATACTGTACCCACGTTCTCACGATCTTCAACTTCTACCATGATTTAGAAACTGCTTCTCGTATATGCGGTTGACTGTTCTTCTCTTCACAATTTGGCCAGGGTTTTGATATCCACGTAGGTTAGCCTTCCCCTCGATTTCGATTTTATCGAGAACTTTGAATTACTTTTGGTTCTTTTTAGCATTAACATCATATACTTCTAATTTCTTGGTTTGTTCCACAATAAACTTTTAACTATTGTTCCTTTGATTCCTACTCTAATCTTTCGATTTTGTGTGTCACGCCCTTCTAATTGGACATCGAATGATTTCTCATTCACCTCTTCGCGTTATCGATCGATCACATGTTTCTCGATTTTTATTTCTTTCATTTCTCGATCGCTTTTCTCGATTTCCTCCTAACACCTATATTGTATATTTAGGATCAAATTCTTTTGGTCAAAATGCTTCCTTAGTTGATGTTGAAGAGGTTACGAACTCTCATTATGATTTACTTGGACCTTAAGTTGGAAGGTACAAAATTTAACCTCAAATCAATCAAATTTTCTGGTGGCAAAATCAATATAAACTAATTACATTTTATTTTTTTATGCAGCTCCGAAAAGGCCAAAAAAGCAATCTTTTACTCTTATAGGAGATATATATTAATGGCTTTGCTGCAGTACTTGATGAAAATGAAGCAGCGAATGTTGCAAGTAAGTAGAGTTTATTAGAGAACTAAATGAATTAAAATTCAGTACATTTAGTTTAACTGTTGAATTGATAATTTATTATCAAATCAAATTAATTATAATTTTATACGTAATTCTTTCTATTTAAAAGCTTTATACATCACCATTTAAAACTCTAATAACCTAATCGCTGTTGTTAAATGATGGATGCAGAGCATCCGAATGTAATATCAGTTTTCTTAAACGAAGAACGGAAGTTACACACAACACATTCATGAAATTTTCTTGGCTTAGAGAGAGATGGTCTATATCCAGAGACCTCAGCATGGCGAAAGACATTGGGTGAAGATATCATCATTGGAAACATAGACACAGGTAATAGAGAAATGGACCAAAATTTTCTCTTTTACCTTTCTCTATGTTATTGTTTAATTGATACAGGTTAAATAAATCACCATGTTTTGAGAAATTTTTTAATGAATGGTGTTTACAGGTGTAAATGATCATGTATGTATCTATTTCCACATTATACTAAGTATTAATGATATATAATCGTTTAAATGAATTATATATATATATATATATATATATATATATATATATATATATATATATATATATATCTTAATTTGTAGGCTTTATGTGTTATATAGATTTAAATATTTTATACAAAATTTTAATTTTAATTTACATATAATTTTATTTACTTACACTTATTAATTACATATAATTTATAAATTTTTTTATTAAAATTAAGATTATCTTTTATTCTATTTAATACCCCAATGAATTAAAACAACCAGTTGAATTAATAATATTTTCAAATTATAATTTTTTTATAATATTGAAAACTTTAATGATATTATGAATTATATTATTATTTATTTTAAGGTTTTCTAAAAAAAGTACTTCTTTTATTTTCAGATAAATAATTATTACACAAAATAAAAGAGTAATTGATTATATATATATATATATATATATATATATAATAGTTTTAATTATTTGAAAATTTTCAATTAAGTTTTTTAACATATATTTGTATAACAATTTTAATTTATTTAATACTTGACTAATTATTTCAATATACCTAATTGTGAAACTCATTTGAGTTATTGAATATGGTCAATTAAGGTTGTTTTAGCGTAATAAATTTATGTTTTTCACATGGAAAGTATTAAAGTCATATCTTACTTCCATTTCAAATAGTCACTCTTCGATAAATAATTAATAATATTTAATACATCATATTTATTAAAATAAGGATTTTAAAAATAAAATTAATTTCAAAAACATGTGCTTTTTTTAATGTTTTTAAATTTTATTATCTCTCTTTTCACGTGAATTTTTCATGTACTACAATTTTTTTATATAGATTTTGTAATTTTGAACTTTTAGATCATTCAAGTATTTTAAATGATTTTGGAGAAAAAAATAATCTTAATTAGATTATGATCATTAAATTCGTAAATACAAATTCGATGAGCCTAAACTAAATAATGATATAGATTTATTATTATTAGTTATTATGTATGAAAATTTAAAGGATAGTCATGTATTTGTTTTTTAACTCGTGCTATTATTTAGTTTATGCACATAAATAGTGAGAAAATATTTTATTTACATTTTTTAATGATTAATTTTGAGTGACTTTTTTTATAAAAATATTTTTTTCTCAGCAAAATAATATTTTTTTTTTAATTTTACATTTACAAAGAAAATTGAATTTTCACCTGTTTTCAAAACACATGGAATTTTTGTTGTTGTAAGGGTTTGCTCTGTGTCATTATTTTGTGAATTGGGTTGTCAAACCAAATTAGTGAATTATCGTCCCCTAATAAAGATTAGTGCTTATGATTTACTTAATATGGATATTCAAATTTAAATAAAATATGTAAAATGAAAAGTGTGGAAAAGAAAGAATAAATAGCACTATTATTGAAATCAATAATTAATTTTAACACAACTGTAGAAAGAAAATAATACTGTAGGTTAAATTTTATTAGTAAGAAGCATCTATTAATATTATTTTTATTTTGTTACCCACAACTAATTATACATCATTGGTATTTAGGTTATTTTTATAATTGATATTTAGGTTATTTTTGTTTGTAAGTAGAGAAGGATCAATGTAAGAAAATAAACGGAAATAAAGTATTTCTCTTATTCTGCTGGGCATTTAAAAAAAATGTTAGTATATGTTTAAATTTTTTTACAGAACAAAAATATTAAAAAATAGTTTATAACTATATATTATAACAAATTATGTATAAAAATATAAAAAAATAGATGTTATGAATATATTTCCATAATCTAAATCAGCGAAAACACATCACATTTGTGTGTTAACTTCGAAATTTTTTATCATACTATTTTGTTTTAATAAATTAACATTAACTATTTATATTTTTAATTTTAGATATATTAAATTAAATATATTATTATTTTTTAATTTACGCAAATTTGTTTTTTTTATATCTATAACAATATATAATTCATAGCAATGTATATATTGAATTTGGCATTTTTTAATATACAATTGCATATTTTAGTTGGGATCCATGTCAATAATAAAAGATAAGTAAAGTATGTATATTTAGATACTTTTATTTTATAGACACAGTAGTTTTTCTTTTTCTTTCTCTACTAACTATCATTCATCTTCTTTCTCTACTAACTATCATTCATCCTATCTAATTACTCTCAGTAAATATGGTTTTTTATTATTATTATCTTTTTTATGAATTTTGTATTATGATTTTAAAATATTATTAAAGGTTACATAGAAAAAATATCTCTTCATCAAACTAAAGAAAAGAATAATTTTATATAATTATAGATTTTTTTCTTTTTACCATTTTTAAAAATTTAATAAATATTCTTGTTTGACTTTTGTGACTTGGATTGGACAAGGTGTGTGAATAGCATTGCTCTAATTGGTCATAATCTGACTCAGCAATTAGAAACAATGTACACTTTTTTGTTACTCCTTTGAGACTAAGTATAGAATGTTGACTTACAGGGCTTGTGGGGGCAAAAAAATGGCTTATCTTCTATGCATGAATAGAACATAAAGTGAATTATTTAAAATATTTTTTATTGGTTATTAATTGATTTTTTTTAAACAATTAAATTTTAATAAATTTAAACTATCTTCTATTAGTAAAATATTTAAAAAATAAATAATTTTAATTTTAATTATATTTTAACTTTTTAAAATTAAAAAGTTTCTTAGTCAAATTCACGAATAAATATATAGAAATTTAATATTTTCTGAAACTAGCTGCGAAGCAAAGAATATTTTTGCATTATGAAAACACCACACACCAGCATTTATATGTTCACGTTTTTCATATGTATTAATATGACAGATATTAATAAAAATAATTTTTATAAAATATCATAATTAAGGGTAGAAGAGTTATTAGTTTACGTTAGAGGTAACTCATACATGATTATATTAATATATTTAGTTGGATAACGGTTGTATCTAACAAAAATGTTTTTGAAAAAAACATTTTTCTTAAAAATAAAATTATAAAAAATTACATAAATAAAAAATAGTAACAAAATTTAATATCATATGTATATTAATATAAATTAGTATACATTCACAACAATAGCAAAGATAATCTTCCCAAAGTAAGTTGAACGAATTCAGGCAAACCTAATCCAAACACAGCCTTCGTTAACGTTGAAGGGGAAATGATATTACAATTTATCTTCTATTTTTAACATTAAAATGTCGGTGACAATAATTTGATGAAGAAAAATCAAAACATGTCAGCTCCCATAATTTGTTGACTTAAAAGTTAAAACGCTTTTTGTGGGAGAAATTAATGTTTAGTTCACATATTCTCTTGAGAGGGCTTCCCTCATCGTGGACCGTGTGCTGCAATAATAACACCTACAAGTTCTTACTCTTTCTAGTTCCAAACCATGTAAGATTTGAGTGAAAAACACATAAATAGAAGAAAGTCAAAATGGAATAATTCTGGGTATCCAAAAAGCATATAACTTGTTTATTCGACCTCTCGTGAATTTGCCAAAAGAAATAGCGCATGAAGATGAAGATAGAAGGGGGCTTTAACATGAATCTGGTAGTGGTGGTGGTGGTGGCGTGGTTGGTGAACTTCAACATCGTTTTTTGTTTTGCTCATATTCATGGCTTTGGGGAGCAACCACTCTCCAAGATTGCTATCCATAAGGCTGTTGTTTCACTCCATAATAGCACTTCCATCGCTGCCACCCCGTCTCTTATCGGCACAAAGGTAACGCAACATTTTCCTTAAACTTTTCTAATTTAGTACTAGGAGCGTGAATAATAATGCACTTCTTTTATTGGTTCAGTTGTATTACAAATTATGTAATCATGATTTCAGGGTGAGGATACCCAATGGGTGACAGTAGATATTGATTACCCTGTCCCATCTGCAGATGATTGGGTTGGAGTTTTCTCTCCTGCAAAGTTCATGTAATAACCACACATCTCTCTCTTGATGGAGTTATATTGAATACTTCATAGAAGTTAGAAGTTAACTCTGTACTTTACCAAGCAGTGATCCTCGATAGCTGAAATTTTCAAATCTAGTTATTTCTAAATCCTGTGCGTGTAATTGGTGCTATAAGAACTAAATGAAAGTCTTATTTCTAATGGCAGTTCATCAACATGTCCACCTGTGAGTGATCCAAAAGTAGAGATTCCATACATATGTTCCGCCCCTATTAAGGTATGTTTCATAGATCTCTGATTGAATTAAACCGCAGGTTGGATTAATTTTCTAAGTGATGCATTTCCCATGTTTTTTGTTTGAAACTTGTACCAGTTCAAGTTTTTGAATTACTCCAACTCACACTATACGAAGACAGGAAAAGCTTCTTTAAAGTTCCAGTTGATCAATCAACGTGCAGATTTCTCCTTTGCTCTATTTTCAGGAGGATTATTAAATGTGCTTCCAGGCTCTTTCATCTGTTCTTATATTTGTTGTGTTCCTCCCATTCTCACTAAATCATGCTCATGTTAATTGATTCTCGCCTTACATTTACCATTGTCTGTTAAAACTGCCACTATATTACACTTATGCACTTAACACCAAACCAGGCTATCTACATTCAGAGTATGTATATGATTTTTGGGTTGACTTGGAGTCACTGATTGAACAATGCAGCCTAAACTTGTGGCAGTTTCCAATTTCATATCATTTGTCAATCCTAAGGCGCCTCTATATCCAAGACTAGCTCAGGGGAAGTCTTGGGATGAAGTAAGTTTATCATTGATATTATTTGTCCTACTATCGCTTTGCTTCAGTGATACAGTTACCTTATGTGAAAGTTAACAGGTATCCTAAGGCACATGCATATGATCTAATAGATTTGGTTTGGAGCACAACTTTCCAATGATTGATATCATTTGAGTTTACAATTTGACATGATATTACGGAAAAAATTATTTTCAACACCCTGGAAACACTATTCCGACTACAGAAGTAATTTCAGAATTATTCGGCCTGTCTTATGCAGATGACAGTTACCTGGACTAGTGGATATCACATAAATGAAGCTATACCTTTTGTTGAGTGGGGTCATAAGGGTAAAACACAAGTGCAAACTCCTGCCGGAACATTGACATTTGGTCGTAACAGCATGTGTGGTATGGTTTATTGGCTTACTGTTCTGGTTACATTGAAACTGAATAAACTGAAATCTCTTGGTTTATTTACATCCTCCCTCCTCTCTGATGCCCCCCCTTTAATAATGTTTCTCATAATTTGTTGTTCTCGTTTGCAGGTTCACCTGCACGAACTGTTGGTTGGCGTGACCCTGGTTTCATACACACCAGTTTTCTCAAAAATCTTTGGCCAAACATAATGTATGCATTCGGATATCCATTTCTTTTTATAACACAATGAGGAACTAGAAATGTTTGTTCTATAATTTTTAGAAAAATATTCTTTTTGTTTCAGATATACCTATCGATTAGGGCATCTACTGTCTAATGGTTCTTATATTTGGAGCAAGAAATATTCATTTAAGTCATCACCTTATCCTGGACAAGACTCACTGCAACGTGTTATCATATTTGGTGACATGGGGAAGGTAATGTTTATTTTCCAAATAAAATTTATATAAAGAAGACTCGGAAACTGTCTTTGGGAGGAAGAACCAAGTATGCTCTAACCAAGTTCAATCTTTAGCCATATTTATGTATGAACGAAGTAAGAATATTTACTACTGGTGGATTTATCAAGAAAAATAGCTCAACCTTTTTATCATCTCTCCTTATTTCATCACTCTACTCTAAAAATGTATTTAATATCTTCTCTCTAGAATCTTGAAGATCATAAACTGTTAGTCAAATATATCATGGAATTACATAGGTTAAATAGTCATAAGCTTCTTTAGTAAATTAGAAAAAAAAAAAAAAAAAGTTATTAGATGTTTTTTGTGAATCTGAGTTGTCTTCATTTGGTTACAGTTGTTTCTTTTACTGGCCCTTGTCTGCTATGAAGATTTTTTCTTTTTTAATTTACTCTGCAATTGATTGATCAATTCAAGCGTTTCTTTCAATGCTACATAACACAGTTGTCATAATTTATTGACTTTTACCCAAGTAACTTCAGTGGCTTGATTTCTCATGTAACGCTCTATACCTATAATACCCAAAAACAGCTCTATTTTTTTTATCCTTTTTCTTCTTAAATTTCCTCTTTCTTTTGTTTTGTTTTATGGGGGTAGAGGTGATCCTTCTCTCCTTTGAGGACTAAACAGAAATCAATCATGCTCAGTGCTGAAATCGTAGAACTGAAAATTTTGGAATCCATGTAAATTTCTGGCTCATGAATGGCTAAATGATCTGGTTAAAAATGATGAAGTTGCAAGCTGACCGTTGAGCATGATTATTGATAAAAGCATTTGATTTTCTTTCATTTTGTTTCAGGCCGAACGCGATGGTTCAAATGAGTATAATGCCTATCAACCTGGTTCACTTAACACCACTGACCAACTCATCAAAGATTTAGAAAATATTGACATCGTTTTCCACATAGGAGATATAACTTATGCAAACGGATACATCTCGCAGTGGGACCAATTCACTGCTCAAGTGGAACCAATTGCTTCAAGAGTACCTTATATGATTGCCAGGTTTGTCCTATTGTCCACACCTTCTGTTTTGCAAGTAAATTAGATTCATGTGTTACTCATACATTGAACTAGAATTGTCTAATAATCCTGCAGCGGTAATCACGAACGAGATTGGCCCAACACAGGATCCTTTTATAACACTACAGATTCAGGTGGGGAATGTGGAGTTTTGGCGCAGAACATGTTTTTTGTTCCAGCTGAGAACAGAGCAAACTTTTGGTACACTCGATTCCATGAAAATAAATCAAATTTTAGGGATTTTTTTTTTTCCTTTCATCAAGAGCTCTGTCAGTACTATAATGATTGTAAAACTAATTTGAATGCAATATAAGCTAGTTGAAACGCAACAAATTTGAACTTTTGTGAATGATTATAAGAATGACGTTGCACACATCACTACTAAATTTAATTGAATGTTACAAAGGTGGTAAAGTTTAACTGATGTAAACTCAGAGGTTTTCATAAAATGACTCATGACATAAATATGTTTTACTTTTAGTATTCTAAAGTGAACAATTGGGAGTTATATGCAATAGAATGGGATCTGTATTTCTAACGATGTATTGTAATGTATTTCATAATTTGATATATAAAAAATGGGATTCTAAATATCCAGGTACGCGACGGATTATGGCATGTTTCACTTCTGCATTGCTGACAGTGAACATGATTGGAGAGAAGGAACAGAACAATACAAATTCATTGAGCATTGCCTTGCAACAGCAGATAGACAGAAACAACCCTGGTTGGTTTTTGTGGCTCATCGGGTACTTGGATATTCTTCTGATTTTTTTTATGGCAAGGAGGGCTCATTTGAAGAGCCCATGGGAAGAGAAAGTTTGCAGAGACTGTGGCAGAAATATAAAGTAGATATTGCATTTTATGGCCATGTCCATAACTACGAAAGGACATGCCCCATATATCAGGTAAGGATAATGGCCTAATATGTCATGACTCTATTTAAATTCAAACCAACTTACACAGTTGAAAAGTTAATGATTTGCTACTTTCATTGTATGTTTTTCATGGTATGCTTTTTATCCTTATCAAATTATTGAATGACCTATGGGTGGTTGCTTCATTCATTTTGTATAATTTGCTATTCCTTTTGTTACGATGGTGAGATTTTAACAGTTTCCATACTAATCCTAATGCTTTTATGAACAAAATCCATATACAGAATCAATGTGTGAATGATGAAAGGTCTCACTATTCTGGTGTTGTGAATGGAACAATTCATGTTGTTGCTGGAGGTGCAGGATCCCATTTGTCAAATTTCAGTGAAGTAACGCCTAAGTGGAGTCTTTTCAGAGACTACGACTTTGGGTTTGTCAAGTTGACAGCATTCAATCATTCATCTCTCCTCTTTGAATACAAGAAAAGCAGTGATGGAAAAGTCTACGATTCCTTCACCATTTCAAGGGATTACAAAGATGTCTTAGCCTGTGTGCATGATGGCTGCGAAGCAACCACTTCAATAACTTTGAACTAAAAAAATAGTGAATCAATTTGTGAAAGTTATATTCACAAATTAAACCTACATAATCGTTGTATTAACGTTTTTCACATTACAAATTTATATTTTGTGTGTATTAAAAATTCTTAGGAGAGGAAAATTCCCTACAAAGGAAGTAACATGGATCAAAAGATAAGCAATTATGATAACCTCTTCAAAGGAATGTCACACTTCTTTATTGTGAGGAATTTGCCAGACATTAAATAAATTGAGAATTTATATGCTGGAAATTCAGATATGATGTTGGATATCAAAAAACAGTTGAAACCTCAAATCTATATTTTTTATTGAAAGTTATTAAATTATATGATTAATTATTGATTTAACGGCTAAATAAAATTCCCTTAAAAAAATGGTAAACATAAAATAAACTTGTTTATTAAACAAGTTTATTCTGAAAATACTAACTTATAAACTAGTTAAAGTTTATTTTAAACTATTAAACTAACTTATAATTTAATTACGTGAACCGTAATATATTTTATGTAATTGTAATTTTTAGGTTTCACCTAATTTTAAACTTTTATCATTTTTGTCAAATGATTATATATTTTATTTAACAACAAAATAAAAAATAAAGTAATATTAAAGGAAGAATTTCATAAACGATGGTGAATGATAACTTTTATTGAAACACTCAAAAAATAGAAAAAATAATAATTAGTTATAAGCTTTAGTATTATTTCAAGTCATGTCATATAATATTATTAATAACAACAAAACTTTATCACAATAAATGAAGTCGGTTACGTATATCACTTTACACTTATTTGACACGGTTTAAAGTCAACACTTTTAAAAATATCATTATAAATTAGAAAAATTAATTATTAATATTTTTATTTTATTCAAACAAACTTTCAAGTTTATTGTAGTCGTGGCCCTATGATTTTAAATTTTAAAAATTATTTATTTAAATTATTTTGTGGAACAACTTCTTTGACTTCTTTTTACTAAGTCAAATTTTATCTCAGATACCATTAATTCTTTTTCTTTTCCATGGAGAGTTTCAAGATGCGTGACAACCACCATCATCATCATGGTGCTGATTTTCGATTTTAACTTTTTGAAAATAACATTTATTTTAATATAGGTTGTTTTTACTAATTACAATTTTTATCTTGAATATATATATATATATATATATATATATATATATATATATATATATATATTTCTCATATCTAGGCTTGTATTTAACAAAAGAAAATATGAATGAGAGAAAATTTATAAAAAAATTAATAAGAAATGTTATTTTTGTACAATTAAATTTTTTATTTATAAGTTTTAAATAATTAATACAACATTAAGTTTTACTTTATTAAACCACTATGTAAATTTATTTTAATAGACTATTTTAAAATACTATTTCTTTCTGTAGCTCTAGCTATTGATTGTGATAAAAAATAAATAAATAAAGAATCAATATGTATTTCTAATCTGATATATTAATACAAAAAATTGATCTAATCAATTCGAATTGAAAAAAATTATGTTGTTATTATTGTAAATATATTTTCATATTTATCATTATATAGATCTAATTATACTTTATAATTTACAATTTAAGTATATAAAAATATCATTATATAATAATATATATTATAAAAAATAAGAATAAAAAAAGCATTTAAACAAGTTTTAAAATTGTGAAGAGTGGTTTCTATTCTACCCTTAATATGTTTTTACTTGGATTTGTATATTATCCAAAGAAAAGAAAGTTGCAATATTTTTTATTAGATTAAAAGAAAACAAAAGTCAAATAACACAGGGCTGCTAACTGGTGTTCATAACTTCAAATTAGTAACAAAATTTCAGACATAAAATCTATCTAAATACATTTTGGATAAGACAAAACTTAATATAAAATCATAATCATTGATTTTCAAAATTGATATTTATAATATTGTTATGAAACTGACTACTAATATTAAAAAATTATAAATTTTAACAAAAAATTTATTCTTAATTAAAATAAATATTTTTTAAATCGAATCTAGTCAAATTGATATATAGACATGAATTTGAAGTTTAAATATTCAATTAAGATTCAATTGAAATTTAGTTAGATTTAATAAAATAATAAAATTATTAGTAATAATATTTTTTATAAAAAGGAAAAAAATATAATTACTGTAATAAAAATTATAAATTTAAAATATATTAAAATAAATAAAATTATTATTTAAAATTAAAATAAATAAATAACTAAAATATGTTATATTTTTATAAAAAATTATATTAAAAAAATTTAATCTAGATATATTTTTTTTACTAAATATAAACTTATATTTTATTTTATTTTTATTTGTTAAATAATACTAATATTTATATTTATGTTTTATTTTCTATTATACTGTCATGGGTTAAGTATAGGTCAATTTTTCATATTAAAAAAAAATCAGAACAAACAATATTTATGGAAGTGTACGCACGCAACGAAGTAAAACATGAATGAATTCAATAATAATAGTTAAAATTCAAAATAATAATTAATCCAAGCCCAGCAGAATATTTTCTGTTGATTGAAAAACAATCAACATGAATGAATCACTTTAAAAAAAAAAAAAAAAAAAAAAAAAAAAAAAAAAAAAAACTGGAGAGTAAAGTAAACATTTTTGTTATTGATGATGGAAAAATTACTATATCAAATAAGAATAAATAAAAGGAAGTATAATTTATAAAATTAAAGAAAAACTGTAGGCATAACTATTTAAATTTAGACAATATTATTTTTTATATTGTGTGCTAAAATTTAATATGTAAGGTTAAATTCAAATTAGGATTATTTAAGATTATAATAATCTTAAATAGCATGTGCGGCAATTTAAATAAAAAAATCTTAAAAATCATCACTTCCTAGCGTAGAACTGTTTATGGATTGATTGGAAAAAAATAATATACAAAAAAAGTTCAACAAATGATTCTACCAGAAATTAAATAAAATAAAATGGGAAGGATGAGATTGAAATAGACCCTTGACCAGCAAGTTGGTTGATTAGTGAAATGAGATCAAATAACACTCAATCAATCAATGGTCAACTCTTTGTTATAATATTAATTATAATAAATATAATAATTATAATATAATTAAAAATTAAAACTTCAGATCCATCTTGCACTGCATGTTTCAATGAATTCAGTGATTCATATGTTTGACCGAATCAATTAGGTCCTAAATTTCTCAATTCTGCTTTCACACTTCAATTTTCAGAACCTCTACATTTTTCTAAATTCTCATTCATTCGAAGACCAAACACTGGCTTCTTTCTAACTTTTTATTTAAAATTATAGCGTTTTGCTATTATTATTTTGAATTACTGCAAAATATTAATTAAGGAATTAAAGAAAGAGAACAAAAATTGTAAAAAATAAGATTATTTTTTATTTATTAAAATATTATTTTATTAATTTTAAATAAATTTATTTATTATTCTAATATTATTATTTAATTGCTTGTTACTGTAATAAAAAATAATAATACTTAAAATAATATAATGATTATAAAAAAAGAGATAATCAGTCTGATTTCATATTCTTCTTATTTCTTACATTTTTTTCAGTAAAAAAAAACAATTTTTAAATTTAAAAATCTCATATATATATATATATATATATATATATATATATATATATATATATATATATATATATATATGACCTGATCAAAACATAGCATAGTATGTGTTGAATGATGATAAATAAGTGTAAAATAAATAAAAAATTTATAAATCAACTAAACTATAATTCTTGACACGGAGATTGATGATTCGTAATCAGTTAAATTTTTTGCAGGTTTTTTTTTTGTTTATACTTTAAATAGGAACTTCCTGTATTCTCTCGTCTATGGTTTCTTGAAATCAAGACGGTGACCTCGTTGTGAGAACGGATTATAGATATCCGGTTAAAAGTGTGACTTTTTTTTTTTTATCATTATTTGTATAAGAGTAGGTGGTAAAAATATATATATATATATATATATATATATATATATATATGTAAAAATAATTTACATCATTATATAAGATATATAATAGAAGAAGGAATTTTATTTTTGATTTCTTCTATTTTTTCTACGATTTTACAAGTATCTACATTGCTTAGGTGGAAACAAACTAATTAAGGGGTTTTGGAAAAAAGTAGGAGGCATACAAAAGGTAACTACTATCGACCCATCTAACATAATGGGATTTCCCATATCGGATACAAATGTTATTATTGAAAATCCTGTCCCTCTAAAAGTAAGCTGAATTGTCTATAACATTTGTGTTCCAAGTAGTTCAGGAAAGAAGGCGGTGATACTTGCGAGAAAAGGGATTTGGAATATTTGGCGCCTCCATCTACTTAAGTTGATTTTTAAATAAAACATGTACGAAAGATCACAATAGGGAGTGAGAACATTTATCAATTACAATAATACAATCTTATAATATATAGATATATATGTTTCAACTTCCTCAACACATTCTATTTTATGAATATTTAAATTAAATTTGTAGTGACTAGTCAGGATAAATGAGTTCAATTTTAATCACTCTCACGAGTGATATTTACTCATTTAAATTCCCAAGGTCTAACATTCATCTACAATATCATCAAATCTTCACAAATAGATATTATTGTAATTGAATAATATAACTATAGATTAATAAATAAGATCGTTGCATTATTAGAGATAAAATAAAGTAAACAACTGGAGATAATTAAAATAAGACCAGTGCAAAACTGAAGATAAAATAAAATGAACAAACAGGACCAGTACATAACTGGAGATAATTAAAATAGGACCAGTGCAAGACTGGAGATAAAATAAAATAAACAAATAGGACCAGTACATAACTGGAGATAATTAAATTAGGACCAGTGCAAGACTGGAGATAAAATAAAATAAACAAATAGTACAAGTACATAACTGGAGATAATTAAAATAGGTCCAGTGCAAGACTGGAGATAAAATAAACAAGCATAAGGTAGGG